AAGTGAAACGGTTCAGCTAGCTTAGCTGTGTTTCAAGCTCCAGCAAGGAAGGCATGTGTCAAGAACTCTTAAAGTTAAAACAACCCAAAGCCATGAACCTCTAGGGTATCATATTACTAACAAATTACTTACAAATTGCCAAACCTTGACTATCCAAGGTTGTTTCATATCGAATATCATACCACCCAAAAGAGTGAATATATCATTTTCAAGGAGATCTGCAAGTCCAAGTCTCAATCACAAAATAGGTATAAAGACAAATCATAAGCACAAAACAGTGTATCCAAGTCCAAGAGCTTAACAACCATAGGAAATAGTTGGTAAATTTCATTAAATCACAGAAATAGCAAGCCAAAACAGAAACTCATTAATGTCTCATTCAAAACAGTGAAAGCAATCACCCAATAATCTCAATCAATTAAAGAAACCCAAAAACAAAAAAACAAAACAAAACCCATATCAAAACTCACCACAGTGAAGATCGACGATGAAGTGTCGTGGCTTTGTGGTGGAAGTCGACGACGGAGGTGGAAAGTCAAGACTGTGGCTCCGTTGTGGAGGCCGACAACGGAGGTGGTGAGTCTCGCCTTGGCTAGGGTACGGTTCCAAATTTGGGGTTCAACCTTGAGGTTGAAATCAGCTCCTAGTTGGAAGATATAACTAAGAGGAGATAAAGTTAGGGGAGATTCAATGGTGGTGGAGGTGGATTTTGTGAGGTTTGGCAGAAGGAAGAAGAGGAAGAGAAAGAGCAAAGACTGAGGAAAAAAAAACTAAGTGAAGGATGGGTAAGCTGTCAATATGGAGTTTTTATAAGGGGCATTTGTGATGGAGTTTCAAAATAAGGATATTAATGAATAAATTAGGTGAGCCAGGGGTAAAGCCGCCAATTTCCCTATTATATATGCACTCACTCCTCTCACTTTATCTCTCATCTCTCTCTCACTATCTTCTCTAATTCTCTCACACTCACTTCTCCCTCTCATTCTCACTCACTCTCAATCTTGCCAAAAGGTTTATTCTCTCCAAATTTTAAATTTTTTTCATTAATATGTGTTTTTGGAGTTAATTTTGAGTTTGTGCGGGGTTTGGGGTTGAGTATAGGGTGAGGATTGGAGTTTGGGTTGGATTTGGGGTATAACAATTTTAGGAGAGATTATGCCAATTTTTTGTTATTTTTTTGTTATGTTTTTGTTATTTGACCATTTTTTTTTTGTAGGGAATTGTCGAGACTTTGACGGCTAAAGTTGAGGATTAGGATGCTATATATATATATATATATTTATTGGATAATTTGATCACTATTTTTCACATGTAATTTTATTTTGAATATGTCAATTTAAATTAAAGTAATTAAAAAAATAAAATAATACAATTTAATTTAATTTAAAAAGTAAAAATTTGAAAAAATTAATATAAGAGAAATAATAAAACAAAAAGTCAAAAATCTTGCGTGACAAAATATTTCGTCGCGCAAACTATTAAATTAGTTTATTTTAATTAAAAAAATTGAAATATTTAGTCGCACAAATGTTTGCGCAACTTTAAGATTCATCACGCAAAGTATATTTGTGCGACGTTAGGATTCGTTGCGCAAAATAGATTTGCACGACGTTTAGGTTAGTCGCTCAAAGTAGCTCTATGCGACGAAGATTAGGTTTCGTCGCGCAAACCCTATCTTCACGAGCTTTGCGCGACCAAAATTTCGTCACGCCGGATCATGGTGAATAATGAACCATGGGTACAAAATTACACAAACACTCTTGCCACGTCATTATAAAAAGTAAAAATTTGAAAAAATTAATATAAGAGAAATAATAAAACAAAAAGTCAAAAATCTTGCGTGACAAAATATTTCGTCGCGCAAACTATTAAATTAGTTTATTTTAATTAAAAAAATTGAAATATTTAGTCGCACAAATGTTTGCGCAACTTTAAGATTCATCACGCAAAGTATATTTGTGCGACGTTAGGATTCGTTGCGCAAAATAGATTTGCACGACGTTTAGGTTAGTCGCTCAAAGTAGCTCTATGCGACGAAGATTAGGTTTCGTCGCGCAAACCCTATCTTCACGAGCTTTGCGCGACCAAAATTTCGTCACGCCGGATCATGGTGAATAATGAACCATGGGTACAAAATTACACAAACACCCTTGCCACGTCATCAGTTTTAATAGAATTTTGGATGGAGTTGACGGCAAGAGGCAAAGTGGGTCACCAAATCACAGTCAAGCAGGGTAAGTGAGTCACTTTAAGTTTGGGGGGCAAAGTGAGATTTGACCGTAGTTTCAGGGGGCATTGGTGTAAATAAGCCTTTTAGGAATACTGGTGGGTGAAAAGATGAGATTGTATTTTTTCAAATTTACATTATGGGTGGGAAGATAAGGTGCATGGGGAAATAAGACAACGGGAGGAAATAGCAGCACTTCATATATCTTCTTTGGGTGATAATTGCACATAACTCCTTTGTCTGGATAGTATTTGCGCAAATTTACGCTCTTTTTTGTCCAAAAAATATGAACCACATCCTTGCATAGGTAGAAGAAAGGTGAGGCCCACTAAGTTTACAAACACTGAAAAAGACAAACCATTAGTCTTAATATGAACCACATCCTTGCATAGGTAGAAGAAAGGTGAGCAAAAGTCCGAAGTATACGCGTCAGAAGACCAAAGGAAGTTGAAGACCGGAAGTTGCATTAATTATTGGAACCTCGCTCTTAAACTTCATCAAAAACTTCATCACATTCACAACAGCAAATTAGAAAATAGGTACCTTCTTATAACAACTTATTCTTTGATCTGAGTATGGCTCCTATGGCCAACCAAAAAGTACATTCTCCTTTTTCTTCTTCTACTACTACATTTTTCATTCATGATCCATGGTTTGAGTTTTTGAGGTAAGGACACACGCGCCAATCTATGATTTGTTTAGATGGGTACGTAATTTACTTTCGTCCAAGTAATTAAATACTTTTTCTTTCTCGACACAAGTTTAACTTTTATTTCTTTCTTTATTTTTTGTGTGTATGTTGTTGTTCTAGAAATTGGCGTTCTTAAGATCGTGCTGCTTTTGGTTTCCAAAATTGATTGTTGAGTTGAGTTGAGCTGACTTGAGCTGTTTAAATTTTCGCATGAGCTTGTAAAATAATAAGACATCTTTGTCAGGTCCTAGGCTGCACCCACCCGCATACGTTCTCTTTCCCTCTCTCGTAGCTTCTTGCGTTTCTGTTGTCCTCATTCAAGTAGGAGTGGATTTATGGAACTCAGATCTGGAAATATGACTATGGAAGTTCAAATATTTTTACTGTTTCAAGCACATATATTATACATGCAAACATCGTGATGAATGTGAACGTTTGAAAAAAAAAATTCAGCTCTAATGCATGATCATTTTCTGAAGAGTAGTAGCGTTGTTGTTCCATTAGAAAATTGTCTAGTGAATTCTAATGTTTGTTATGCAACAAAAATTTCTCAAATTACTAGAAATAAAAAAAATAAAAAGATATCAGGATTTAGACTTTGAAAAACCTGCTTGTAAAAACTGAAGAATGATGGTAGGACTGACTGGCCTGAATTTTTAAGGGTCCGGAGAGATACAAACAAATTCCATGACAAAAAGAAAAAAAAAGAAAGAAAAAGGAAGTGCTGCTCAAGAAGAAAAAGTTTCAATTATACAATATTATATTCTTCGCTAAATTAAAGACCATCCAATTCTCAGTTTCATCATGTTATGGTATTTTTCTTTTCATTTTGAAACGGTAATTAACTTTAGGTTTTTTTAAAAAAAAAAAAATTCTTTCCCTTTTATTTACAGCAGATCCAACGGCTGTGTTTTTGTGGGGTTTTTTTTTTTTTAGCTCAACGCTTCTTGATTTATTTATTTCATTTTTTCAACCCATTTTTTCTTATAAATACCGGCCACATTTCTTCTCCCTCAAATACACAGAAAATAACAGAATAAAAAGGAAAATTAGCACGTAAGCTAAATTACAACATAAAAAGATGAAAAGTAGCCTTGAAGGTTCCTTACCCTAGCCTTGAAGGTACCGTCTCATTACAAAGAAACTCTTCGGCTGACTAGTCTATAACTAAATATCATAGAGATAGAGTCGTCAACATTGCTATTAGACCAGTTCAAGAAAAAATCAAACCATAAAATTCGTTCTAGTAATCTTTCAATTTTTTATTTTCAGACCAAAAACACAAAATCTTTAGATAGAAAGACCATCATTTGGAAGAAAGCGCGTCAGTGGAAAAGCAATATCATCGTTTGACCACTTTTGTAGCTGCCATAGGCCCATTTGTGCTATACTTGCCATGTGCACTATATTAAAGCAATTTATTCAGCAAAGTAAGTTGCAACTATATATGCTTCAGTAAATTAAAGACCGCGTCAGTAAGAAAAGAAAAATCAGCGTCTGATGACTTGAAGTTGAAACAATAGCAACTCCACATGGAAGGTGGTAGGAAACTGCTTCGTCAAACCCTCATAAATCTAACCAGAGCGCCACTGCCATACCCAATTCTTTGAGCTTCTCCTTACTTTTAATTATGTGCCTCCTATCTATGACCACTCAACCAGTCTCTTCTTCTCCTTCTTCTTCTTCTTCTTCTTTCACTCATGATTCATCATGGACATATGATGTGTTTTTGAGTTTTAGAGGTGAGGATACAATTTCATGCCCTAGAATGAGCAAAAGCCCACTAATATAATCGCTTCCCAGTTAAGCAAATAACAGCTGTTAACTAACAAAACAAATTGCCAGCTAACTAACCAATTGCCTAACAAAACCTTGCCAGCTCAGCTATCATACAAAAATACCATATTAACCGTGAGAATCCTATCACTGATTAATCACAAAGCTACAGATCTCATCTCAGAACTGAATGTTAAACATTATTGGTTTTCTGTAGCGGATGGGACTAGGCACCAACACCTGTAAATTATATCAATACATGCACCCACTGAGTCAAAGAGTCGTTGTAAAGATAACATAATCTAAAGATATGCATTTAAGTACAGTGAAAGGATTTGTTGGTTGTTGCAAAGTTAGGTGTCCTTAGAAATATCTAACGGAGATAAATTGGACCACATCCTTGCACAGAAGGGAGAAGAAAGGTGAGGCCCATTGAGTTCACAAAAACTGAAAAAGACAAACCAGTCTTAATATTAATTTATTGAGCAAAAGTCCCAAGTGTGCGCGTCAGAAACCAAAGGAAGCTGAAAACTGGAAGTAATTATTGGAAGTTCCTCCCCCCTCTTAAACTTCATCACATTCACAACTGCAACCAACAACTTAGTCTTTGATCTGAGTATGGCTCCTATGGCCAACCAACAAGGACATTCTTCTTCTTCTTCTTCTTCTTCTTTCACTCATGATCCATGTACATATGATGTGTTTTTGAGTTTTAGAGGTAAGGATACACGCACCAATTTTACAGATCATTTGTACAAGGCCTTGTCCGATAAGGGGATCTACACCTTCATTGATCGTGAGCTTATAGGAGGACAGAAAATCTCACCAGCCCTTCTCGAAGCAATTGAAGAGTCACGGATTTCTCTCATTGTATTCTCTGAAAACTATGCATCCTCACGCTGGTGCTTGGACGAACTCGTTGAGATCCTTCGATGCAAAAACTCAACGAAACAAATAGTTTGGCCCATTTTTTACAAAGTGAATCCGTCGCATGTACGGAACCAAACAAATAGTTTCGGTGATGCATTTGCTGACATGAACTGCAGATTTAAGGATAATACGGAGAAGGTGCTAGGGTGGAGGAGCGCTCTTAGAGAAGCAGCAAGTTTGAAAGGATATACTTGCAAGGCGGGAGAGTATATTTCTACCCTCTATAGTGCGCACATATATATGGTTAATTTAGTGGCTTGATTCTATATTTCAGGGTCATCTATCTTTTTCAAGTTTAATTTTTTCTCTCCTTTTTCCTTTGGTTATATTTAATTGTTACGCATTCAAAAAAGTACTGTTTTGATAAAAATAGAAAACTGTAGGCCGAAGATTTTTTTCAATAGCTGTAGGGGAGAAGATTCAAAACCCATATATTAGTCTCTCCAAAAGCCGTACTAGTCAATATTGTTTGTAGTTAAATAACTATTAGGCTCGTCAAGCAGGGTTACCACAGTGGTGGCCCTCCCCCTTCCCCCTTGCTTGGCACCAAGGATCGAACCCCAGGGGTCTTTCCTACCAATGTAACCGGAAAAAAAAAAAAAAAACTATTAAGCTCCATTTGGATNNNNTACATTTTATTCCTTAAATGTGTCAAATTTTTTAAATGGTAGGTCTGAAGCTACATTTATCAACCACATCGTTGAAGAGATTGTAGTCCTAGTGCTGAACCGCACATATTTGAATGTGGCGAAGTACCCAGTTGGAATTCACTCTTGTGTAAGAGCTGTGGAAATGCTTTTATGTGCTGGTGGGAATGGTCGCCACATAGTTGGGATATGGGGGACATCTGGAATAGGCAAGACAACAATTGCGAAAGCTGTTTATAATGCAATTGCTCATAAGTTCGAATGGTGTTGTTTCTTGGGAGATGTTAGAGAAAATTCAATGCAACATGGAGGCTTAATCCAACTACAGGAGACTCTTCTTCAAGAGATTCTAGGTGGCAAAAAGTTGAAAATTGTTAGTGCTGATAAAGGTATCTCTATTATACATAAATTGCTGAGGCATAAAAGGATTCTCTTAATTCTTGATGATGTGAATCAATTGGAGCAATTAGACAACTTGGCTGGAGTTGGTTGGTTCGGTGAGGGTAGTAGAGTCATCATAACTACACAAGATAGCGGATTGCTAAAATGTTATGGAATTGAGTTGATATACGAGGTCCATAAGTTATATGACAACCAAGCTCTTGAGCTTTTCAGTTTGAATGCCTTTGGAAGAAATGAACCTCCAAATGATTATTTGGAACTCACAAAACGAGCAATAGCCTATGCTCAAGGCCTTCCACTAGCTATAACACTTTTAGGTTCCCATCTTCGTAATAAAGGTATACATCGTTGGCAAGCTATATTAGATGGTTATGAAGGAGAACCTTATACAGGTATACAGCAAATACTGCGAAAAAGTTATGATGCATTAGATAATTCAGTGCAACAAGTTTTTCTAGACATGGCGTGTTTCTTCAAGGGTGAAGATAAGGACTATGTGATGCAAATACTAAGTTCTAAGCACAAGGCTTCCCAAGATTGTATTGAAGTCCTGGTTGAGAAGGCAATGATAACTATTCAATATAATAGGATTTTGATGCATGACTTGCTAGAAAAATTGGGTAAGGATATAGTTCACGAAGAGTGTCCCATTGAGCCTGGCAAGCGTAGTAGATTGTGGTTTCATGGGGATGTCTACCGTGTTCTAACAGAAAATAGCGTAAGTATTATATATGTCCTTATATTCAATCTGAAATAGTACCTGTGGTAACCAATAATTTTCTTAACAAAATGGACTTGTTTGCTTTGAAGAACGACATGGTTTCTTAATATTATTATCTTTTCATCTCAGGGAACAAAAAAAATTAAAGGCATCATGGTGAAGTTTCCCAAGCCAGATGAGATACCCTTGAATGCAAAAAGCTTCTTCGGGATGGTAAATCTTGAAATTTTCATAAACTGTAATGCAATTCTATCTGGATATGTTGAATATCTACCCAACGAGTTGAGGTTCATTGATTGGGGTAGATGCCAGTTACAATTATTGCCATCCAATTTTCATGCAAGGCATCTTGTTGTGTTCAATATGCCTTGCAGTGATATCAGACAATTGGAGGGATTTAAGGTACGCACTTCAAATTATTTTCATCTATTATTATCTCGAATATATTTCTTTGGGCTTAGTGTCATCAGGTGTTCAAAACTCCTTACATTTGGCGTGTGGTTGATCATTTCCTATTTTGTGTTTTTTTCTCACAGAATTTCCCAAAGTTGACATCTATAAATTTAAGTGGTTGTCAATTCTTAGAAAAAATGGTTGACTTATCTGGAATCCCAAATTTG